ACACACGTCATCCAAAGCACGGGAGACGCGCAGGCACCACCACCAGGATGGGGCCCAAGTGACTATTGCCCCGCGTCAAAACACACACAACGTCGGGACGGGCCTCTCCGTCGGCGTCCGCTCACAAAAACAAAACACGGCCACATGCCTTCAGCACCAGCGCCTTCCTTTCAGACAAACCTTCAGACAAAAAAAACAAAAGGAAGAAGCATATAATACAAAAATAGCACCAGCCCTCGACCAAACCCAACACATTCGCCATCACCCCCTCGCACCACAGCAGCCAAACAACGACCTGCCGAGTCCGTGCCCGCCCGCACAGCTCAAGAAACATCGCTGCTTGCCGTGACTCTCCCACACCACGGCGGCGCCTGCACACGATGAGAAAGGAGTGGGTGGGGAACTGACGTAAACCAAAGTTATATGGTGCTTCCCTACATTTGCAACGCGGAGTCGACACAGCAGCGGTCAACCGCCGCATATAATGAGCGCCAGCGTGGAACCCAGGTATTTATCCCACAAAAAGGTCCCATAAATGGGAGATTGCAGCTTTATTTTCGCATATTCAACACGCACACACACACACAGTCACAGTCACCATAACATTATCCCACAGTCATTACACACACACACACAAATACCCAAATAAGTGCATGAAGCACAAGCAATGGTAGCTGGGCTCCCGCCGTGAACTGGCAACGTGGCAGCCTTTAGGGCCCTGCAGCCACCAGGCTCCTCCGCGCGGAGGATCATGGCAGGTATTAGTTTGGGGAAGAAACGAAAAAACAACAACAACACCGCACACACCACCGTACAACGCGCTCTCGTAGGAACCAAATCAAGTCAACAACAGCGAAACGGGAAAAGCCGAAAATAAATCGATGTCAGTTGATCAGCGGCATTTGGTCGTTTTTTCTTTAAAATTATTTTATTCCTTTTCAGAGGCGTCGGAGCAAAAAAAAAAAGGGGGGGGGGAAGGGGGGCGTCGAGCACTGTTTCTAACCAAAACAAACAAGAGCCCAGTCGGTATGGTGGGAATCTTCAGCTTTCAGCTCGGCCCGTACAAAACAACCGCAATCACGTTTCTTTTTAAAAGGCACATCAACACATCGATGCCGCTCCTCGATATAATTGAGCCCATTCACAAAATGACCCACGTAAATTTCCCACATTTACTGCAGTCCCTCCCCCCTCTCCCGCTCTCTTACTGCCGCCGCCTGCACGCGCAGGAAAACAATAGTTACCACCAGATGGATGCGACACGTTGCATCGGATTTCGCGTCCACGTCCCCAATGAAAGATACAACTTTCGCTCCTTTACCAGTGAACTCTCAGTGATGCGGAGCAGGCGTCCACATGGAGCGGACACTGATTCGCCCTGGGATCCTCTTCCAACCGTCACTTGTAACAGCAATCGTCTGCCTCCCTGAACAACTTTTCCCAATCCGCCTTTGTGAGGTAACAAAGCATTGCTGGGGCCCCCAACATCAACCCAGTAGCCGGACCTCCAACAATCCCAGCTGGACCCCAGCCAGAGAGACAGACCAACACAAGCTCCAACGGCAATCCAACGAGCCACGAACAAGTGACCAAAATTTATACCACCTTTTCGTTATGCCCCATTACGCTGAAAACGCCCTGAAAAAACGTACTGGGCGCCCTCAGAAATGCGTGTAAATGGTGCTATCCAACTCACAGTATGCGCCACTTGCAACGATGCTTCGTTCACTCCAAGTAGACCAATAATCCCGCCAAAAAAAAAGCAGACAAACAAAAAAATAATAATAATAATAATTTCACCCACGAAGGACATAAATGGGACCAAAGCGGCAGCGACGAAGAGAGAGCTGGGAAGTGTCAAGCAAAAATATTCGTTCAAGCCACCCCACTGCAGTGCCTCTCTGATACGGAGTTTACCCGGCGTCTGTCGGGTCAATCCCCAAGGCGTTGTCAGAGCAATCGGTACTGCGCGCTGTGCCCCAGCCACGATGGCCATCCCCCAGCACGGCACCACGAGCACCTCGCTGGGCCAAAAGGCACTGAACCAAAGGTGTCACAATACAACCGACCACAGCAGCAGTCATTCATGGGCAATTGAGGTTTAAGCTGATTAAAGGCAAATTTGGAACATGCCCTGAAAGTCACCGATGAAACGATAAACAGGGGCCCAAGCTTCATAAAATTACAGGCAATTTCCGCTGTCTTCTCCCCGTACATTTTTGGCAACGCACCTTGTATCAAGCAAAAAAAAAAAAACGATGCGCCGACAGGCACCATCAACAGCATACCAACCACAACGCCTCGTTGAAGAGTACTGTCTTGCTCATCACTCCCTGCACCCTCACCGTAAGACCGTAAACAGAGCGCGTCCATTGCAACCGTCCACCCACGAAGTGAATATTGGGCAAAACCTGAAATAATGAGGAACCCCACGGACGCACCAGAGAGAAACAATCATCACCCAGAAAAGTGCCGACAGAAGCCAACGGTGCAACCGCCAGCCAAACCGAAGGTTAGCGCAATACCCATAGCGGACGGCAAGGCCAGACAAACCAAACCAAGCACAATTCGGCCCCATCTCAAGAAATAATCGTCAGCTTAAAGCTCCCAGACACATACCTCCTCACCTATCGACATATCTCGTCGACTGGCAAGGGCGGCCCTGGGGCACTTGCAGCACGGCGTTGCGATCTCTTCCCTTTGCCACGTGCGTTGCTTCCAATGTCATGTGCAACCCCGTCCCGGCACTCGGCACTCGGCTCTCGTCATTTCCAATTTATTCGAGCCTCCCTCACAAATGGCTCCAAGAAGACTCTTCTGTTTGCACCCTCCCGTTAAGATGGCAAAGACAAAACAAATCGTTGCGATGGCAGAAAACAAAAGTGGTCAACCACAGCGGCAGAATAACAAAATGTTATTATGCAAATCCACTGAAAAGTTTTTCTGGTGCTGTTGTAACCGTTTTGCGTTTGCGTATGGGGTCCCACCACCCCCCAGAGGGGATTGCATCAGAGCCATTTACGACTTTGTGCGAGAATTTGGACGTTGAATCCGAGCCCCCTGCCGGAGTCGCTTCCCCTTAGAAAAGTGGGGAAGGCGGAGAAAGTGCGATTTGGGTTTTTTGGGGCATGTTGTGCCGAAAACGAGGACGCGGAAGAAGCCGAAGCAAAACAAGACAAACCATCAAAGCAACAAACTAAAGGCGCTCCACCTTCAGCAGGCCAATGCCACCATCTTCTATGTCGCTGCCGGCCGTGGGCAAATCAGTGGCCGCGGAGACCGAACGGATTGCAAAAGAACCGAGCCAGTGGCTGGCCAAAGTGAAGCTCGGGCACCTCCAATACCCCCAAAGCCAAATTTCGCCCGCCGGCCCGCAAGGAACGCACAGCAGAATAAAATGTGACCCGGCGCCTCCTCACCCACGCCGCTTCCAAACCACGGCGCCTCTCCCCACCTTGAACCCTCCTTGTAAAATCCGCCGGCATCGATGCCTGGTGTTCGCTCCGCGACAAGGATGGAGAAGCAGTGCAGACGCTGCGCCTCTCGCCGCGAAACCCCGACGCGAGTTCCCCACCCCCCTCTTCCCGGCCAACGCAAACTAGTTCCATAGGGCGCTGGTCCGGGGCGCGGCCGAACTGGCCCGAGCGGGACTTTCACCGTGCGCCACGCCCATACGCTTCCGCAGTGCGTCGCGTGAGGCACCGGTCCACCCGCGGAGGGCGCCGGGGGCTGCGGGCGCCCGTATTCTCCTACCTGCTCCGCCCGCAAGCGACATATCTGCCTTCCAGCAGCAAAGCGGCTGCTGGATACGCACCCGCCAGGGCATGCCACCCCGCCCTCCCTCTGCCCGGTGCCCCTCCAGCACGTGATGCACCCGCAGGCAATAGGGGCACCTAACCCGCTCTGGGTCCCCAGCAACACTGAAAGTATAAGAAGCCGCTGCAGTTGCTGTATGGGGCAGAGGGCCGGGCCGAGTACAACCAGGATGCTCCTCACGACCATGCACGCGGGCCAGCGCGGGCGCCGCAGACGGCCGCATTGACAGCACAGAACCCGGCCTCAACAAGACCACCCCGGCACGTTGGCCGTCGCGGCGCACAGGTGCCTCGGCGCAGGTGGTGCCGCGTTCTGCTACGCTTTCCAAACCTCCGGCACCTGAGGTCGGGGGCGCCCTGGTTGACCCGCTCTCGCAACGGCAGCCTGGGCGCTTGTCGGAGGCGTTGGGGTCCCTGTGCGCGGTGCCCTCAGAGCTCCCCAGGCTCCGCCAAGTGCCGGGGATCCGCCGGATCACACCTTCCGCCGACAAGTGTCCACGAGGTGTTTTTCCACCGCTCGTCGCGAAGCCGCATCGCGGGTATCGCCGCAATTGTGCCTACGTGCCGCTCAAACGTTATACCCGAGCAGCCCCTTGGCGAGGCAACAGCTGCACCCATCCCAGCCGATGCCGCACCGCCTAGAACTGAACGCGGGCACGCCGCTGCTCGCTGAAGCCTTCGTCCGCCACTGGGGTCACCCCGGCGCAACCTCTCCGAGAGCCGGCTATTCACTACGAAAAGACCGACGGTGCACCGCCAACTGCCCTGATGGACCCTCAGCTTGTCGGCGTGGCAAAAGACGCCAGGGAATACCACAGAGAGGCAAAATCGTTGTTTTTTTTCTTTTTTGCTTCGTCCACGGCTCAAAGGCCACCAGCAATGGCAACTCAATTGCGGGGAATGTGGCAAGCAAAAGTGTGGTAAAAAGCCGTTGGGCCATTCAGCCGTGGCTGGCCAATTTACCTCAGAAAGTGTGCGATGCGGCGTGTGCGGGAGGCGGTAAACAAAACCGCCCATGAACTTAATTGTCCTTCAAAAACCATGCACTGAGAGAAACGGC